TGTGAGGGCTGAGTGGGTCGTGCGTGTGTCGTGCCCAGCAGACATCTTACTACAGGGACCATTCTGTAAGGGACGAGCCCGTTAGGCGTCTGCAGAGTGAGCACAGATCGTCTTTAGGGGCTGTTGCCTTCTGAGTGATGTCAGGAGCGTAGCCCCAGGTTTATGCTTAGTTGGGGTGTCTGTCCTGGGAGCCAGACTCATGTAGTCCAGGACCAGACACAGTAGGAAGGCTGAACACGGGGACCCAAGTCGCACGTCCCCAGGTGGCTCTGCTGAGAAGTGTTCCAGCAGTTGCCAAGGAGTGGCTAGTCAAGCGGGTCCCTGGGACTCGTGTTTAATGGGGGCAGACCTACCCCTGAGGCATCAGGCAGTCGTGGAGACGGACGGTGGTGACGGTTACACAGCAGCGTGAACATCCATCGCGCTACCGAGCCGTGCGTGTAACAGGGACTGAAATGGAAGTTATTTTTTGGGGTTTTGGGTTTTGTTTTGTTAGTGTTTTTTGGTTTCTTGCTTGTCTCTTTTGTTTTTTGTTTTTTTGTTTTTGTGGGAAGCAAAGCCAAGTTCATTGAGCGATAGTACAAAACTCCCCAAGAGGGCGGAGAGCTGAGAAGGTGGTCCTGAACTGGCAAGTTTTATGCTCCTCTGTTTCCCGCTGTTAGAACAGAGAGAGACCGAGAAGCAGGAAGGAAGGAAGGTGAGTGAGTCACCGGCAAGCCAGAGGGAGCCGGTCCGTGTTAATGAAGGGAAGGGACTCGGTGTTTTACAGTGAGTGGGCGTCCTGTCCTCGAAATGAAGTGGTACCGTCCCTGTTTATGTTTTGCCCAGATTGTACAAGGTGACAGCACCTTCCCTGCCGTGAGAGTCAGCCACCGAGGTGTGGGAGGGAGCAGAGCAGGGGGGATAATTGGGGTCTTCTCTCGTCCGTGTGGTGGCCAAGGTTCTGGACGACTGGTCCCCCACACAGGGCTCCTTGGTAGCACGTCAGGATGACTCACTCCCGCAACGGTTGAACAGCTTCCTTCTTTCCCCAAATATTTACTGAGCCCCGGCTGGGCACCACACTCGGCCAGGCCCTGGCAGTTCGGAGCCGCAGGGTGTGACTCCGGCCACAGAAGAGCCCACTGTTCGGTACGTGAGTGGCGCTGTCGTGCCCGGTGTTGGATTCAATATAGGGTAGCAAGCGTTCATGGAGACCGAAGTTTCACGTGGCTCGGGCTTCTACCGAGGGCCAAGAACGCTGGATCCCGTCCCTTCCCTCGCGGCCCTGGGGCGTGAGACGGGGCTTCCTGGGTTTAATGATCGACCTTGCCCACGAGCTCCTGCCCTGCCCCACACCTGCCCGAGAGCAGGAACGGATGAATGAGCGAGTGAGTGAACAGAGACTCGGTAACGGGGGCAAGTGTGTGCGTGCGTTTCTGTGTGTTTGTGGATATCTGCTGTGTGCGGGGCCCTGGAGTTCCACGGAGAGGAGGCAGGGCCTCTGCACCTGCCTGCAGGTTCGTCTGGGTTTTCAACAAGCACAGCACTAAGGTCCACCAGTAACGGGGTTTTTCCTCTTTACAGTCCTTCTCCGTTCTTACCCTTCTGTGCTGCCTGTGGTCTGTGGCCCCGCTTTGGACGTGAATCTCGGAGCACTTCGCCAGATGAAGAACTTTCCCATCTGTCCTAGTTTGCTAACTTAAAAAAAAATTGTGAACGTGTGTTGAATTTTAGTCATGCTTTTCCTACATCTTTGAGGTAATCATAATTAAAACCCTTTTTACATTTTGATTTTTAAAACATAAATTTATTGAGATACATTTACATACAACAAAATGCATCCCTTTTTCGTTTTGAGTTAGTGAGCTTTAAAAACCCGTGCATACACGTGGAACAGCCACCTTGATCGAGGTGTGGGATGTTCTGACTCCCCCAGAGCTCCCCCTGCCCCTTTCAGCGAGTTCCCCATCCCGTGTCTGGAGGCGACCATTGACGTGCCTTCGAGAGAGTCTCCTACAAACGTAATCTTGTGGTAGTGCCGTCTGGTATCATTCTCCTTCCCAGGCATATTTCTAACCCGCAGCCAGCGTGTTGGCACTAGCAGTGCCCACGGTGTCCCGTCGTAACCTTGGGCCCTGATTCGTCTCTTCACCAGTTGACGGACATATGACTTGGTTCCAGCGTGGGACTGTGACACACATTTGCATTCGAGCGTTGACGTAGTTGTGTGTCTTCCTCTCTCTTCTGTGACTGGGTTACGAGGTGGCGTGGTGCATGTACACTGACCTTTCTGAGAAGCGGCCAGCTTTCCCCCCACAGAGTGGCTGGGCTGTTGTACGGTTCACAGCAGCCCCGGGCAGATCCGTGGAGCGGTCTGGCCTTCACCGAGCCGGTCTGGGTGGTCTGTCGCGGTAGACCCAGCGGGTGCGTGGTGGGCTCTGCCGCTGGTTTTGTGAACATTTTCCTCTTGACCAACGAGGGACGTCTTTCCGTGCACTTATTGGCCATTTCCGTAGCAGCTTTTCTAATGTGTCTGTTCTTGGCCTTGCACGCTGTTTAAGGTTCGCTTGTTTGTCTTACTGAGTTATGAGAATTTTTAAAACACGCTGTGCGTGCGTGTCCTCTGTCAGACACCTGTGTGTGTTTCTCGAATATTTACTCCTGGTGTCTTGTCTTTTCTTTTTTGTAACTGTAGCTTTTAAAGAGTGAAAGTTTTAATTTTGATGATGTTTTTGAATTTATTTTTATTTTCTTTTTTATTTTCTTGCAGTTCATGCTGTTTGTGTTCTAAGAAATCTCTGTCTGTCCCCAGGGTCATTAGAGACTTTTTCTCCTGGGTTTTCTTCCGGATGTGTTGTAGCTGTAGACTTTTATGTGGTGCGTGTCATACAGTTTGTGTTGGTTACTTTTGTCTCGTTAGGTCCAACCTTTCATTCCTGACATCCGCCCGGCATGGACTCAGTGTCATTTTTCACAAGTCGCTGGACTCAGCTTGTTAATACAGTGGACCCTGGACAGCATGGCTTGAACCGCACATGTCCACTTACATGTGGGGTTTTTTTTTTTTTCCCAATAAATGAGGTACTGAAAGTAATTGTATTTTCTTCTCCTCGTGATTTTCTTAATGACATTTTCTTCTCTCTGGCTCACTTTATTATAAGAATACAGCCTACAGTATAGACAGTATACGAAATGCGTGCTGACCAGCCTCGACCCACGGTCGGTCGATAGCCACCGTGCGCAGGTACGTCGGGGGGGTTTGGCGCCCCGCCCCTGGTCACCTGCACTTCATTTCTCCATCCATGTTCATTGGTGACATTAGCCCATGGTCCTCTGTCTTCCGCCCAGAATAAACTTGAGTAAGTCAAACGATTTGCTCTTCAGGTGTGAGTGGAACTCTCCATACGGCTGTCCGGAACTTGAGTGGACAGGGACTCCTTGACCGAGAAGAGGGGGTCTTCAACGCTTGGAGAGCGGTGGTCTGGAGACCACCTCTCTCTGACGATGGCCCAGAGCAGTATGTGGAGATGCGGGAGAGAGACTGCACGGTGGCTACAGGGCCGGGCCGTCAGGGACGCACTGTCGTCTCCCATAGGAGTCAGAGGCCTGGTGCGTTCTTGGTGGAACTATCAGAGAAGATGCCCAAAGGCTCTTTTTGCCCCGGGGATCACTTAGGCGCCTGGTATTCGGGCAGGGTTGGCTGGATCCCTGGAGGCTGGGCAAAGCCGGTCTGAATAAGGAAAGCCTTCGTAGGCCAGCTGTCCTCGTATTCTGGCAACGGAATGGAATGAATTCTTGCTTCCTGAGAGATGACCAAAGCTCTGTCCCAGAGAAAGATCCTTAGAACTAGGCTGAGTTCAGATCTCCCCTGCTGAGGGCAGTTTCTCCGATGTCCTCTCCCTCCCCTCACTCTGCTGCTGGAGTCGCCCTCGCTCCCACATCCCCTGAGCTGCTGACGGTGACTGAGATGTGGAGCCTGTCCCAGGCCGGTATCACGGCCTTTCCTGTCTGTATTTTATGAGGCACTAGTGTGTAAGAAGAGTCACGTATTTGGGGAGTTAAAGCAGAAAGCCTCAAAACCACCCTGAAATGCCAACAGAGGGTGCTGAGTGGGGCGCTTTGGGAGCAAACCTGGGGTGGGGTGTCGCTCTCCCATGAGAATGAGCCGGCAGGACATTTGAGCTGTCTCTGGCCAGTCAGTGTGTTTCTGTGCGTCTTTCTGCTGTGGACGGCGAGGTACAGCGGGCAAGGGGGGCCACAGGTCAGTGCTTCCAGAGCCCCGCAACAGAGAGGTTCCTGTGTGTTCGCAGGACTTCTGCCACTGTGAAGCCCGGGGAACGCACGGCACCGGCGTCTGAGTGCTGGTCGCAACAAAGACCCTGTTTCGTGCTCATGGCCGTGCAGGTCATGACTGTCCCAGTCGGGTCAGGCTGCCGCTGGGCTTTCAGGCTAGGTTAGGGTGTTTGTTCTGGGGCCCAGACTGAAAGGGTAGCGGCACCCAGGGTGCATGCTTACAGCTGATCCCAGGAGTACCAAAGGCCAAGCCAGTCACACAGACCTTGGGAACACTTTGGCGTGGGGCATCTTTGGACTTTGCAGTGACAGAGCAAGAGCATGGCCAAGCCAGTCCCCCTGTGTCGACCAGGGAGGGGTGGGGTCCGCTCTCGTGGCAGGTCCTGGAGAGTGTCCTGCAAGTCACCCGCAGAGCACGTGGTGTCGGGACCCCCAGCTTGGGGAACGGGACCCCCAGGAAGTTCAGGGTGCATGTGTCATCTGCCAGGCGTAGTGCGCACGGTGCCCAGTGTGGGACGGCGCTCCCGTGTCCGACTGACCGAGAGTGAGCGTCTACCCACCAGAGGCCCTGACGGGAGTCCGTACAGAAAAGTGTGAAAGTTGTCGCGCTGAAAGGAGCCACAGGTCTTACCAAATTGCTCATAGACCGGTGTTAGAGGACTGTCGTCCTTGCATGCGTTTCTCTGATTTTATTGACATTTTGCCTGAATTCTGTCCTGTTTCAGGGAAATAGTGGAACATATGGTCCAGCACTTTAAAACACAGATCTTCGGGGATCGGAAACCAGTGTTTGATGGAAGAAAGAATCTGTACACAGCAATGCCCCTTCCGATCGGGAGGGATAAGGTACGTTTATGGGCATGAGTTTGTGTCAGACGACGTGCAATGAAGTAAAATTCAAACATGTTGTCACTTGATCAATCACCTGGGAGGAAGGGGTGGCCGGTTGCTGGGTGTTTCACCCTGAGACCCGGAGAAATGTCCTTCCCCGTGTTGTGCTCTCCTTGGGTCGGGGAGGGTTGGCCAGGTGCAGAGACAGGAGCCGAGAGCTTCGCGGAGCTACACACACACCCTGCACACGCAGGCGCGGCGCCCTCAGACCGGAGCCCAGATCGCATGGCGGGACCGCAGAGACCTGTGGAGAGCACGTGCATGGGGCCGGGATGTGCGTGATGGTGGCGGTGGGACCCAGGCAGCCAGTGTTCTCCTGCATGATAATCACTGATCATTAATCACCACAGATCCTGCTTGTATGAAAATGTCACCTTTTCTGATTGTTTTTGTTGTCATGGCTTTACTTGAAGAGTCATACAATTTCTGCCTAGAAGTTGTTGCTTCTTGGCACGTCTTCCAACAACTGGGCTGGTCTGGGATGGTAACGGGTCGTGTTTATTAATAGAAGAAGAGTGAAGCTCCATGAGCTTCACACAAACTCTAAAAACAGCACAGCAGAGAAACAACCTAACGACTTCCTGCTCCCAGTGAGAGCGGTAAAGACGATTGCCTTTGAGAACGACCTGCCCAGTTAGCTGCTCCAGCCCCCGCGTCCCTGGGAGGGAGTGCAGCTCGGCGCTTAGAGACTCAAGCTGCTGGCCAGCAAGTTGCGGGTTCCCCATGGGCATTACATGGTTTTGCTTTTCTGTTTTTGGTTAATCTTGACGTGACTCAGCTCCTGGCACACGTCTGACTTGCCAGGAGAGTGGGGGGTTTTGGCGCCCGGCAGCGCCACTTGGACTTGGCCATGCTCTGATACCCGTGAAGTACGTAACCGCGGGGGAGGCTGCACAGTGATAAGGGCTCCTTGCCAGCTGGTCTCAAGGGGACCCCGAGATAAAAGTAGGCATGGCAGGGCTGGCTGACACTGACATTCTGAATTCGAGGGCGTCCCGGGACCCTTTGCCTGTCTGTGGAGTTGGGATCGTGCCTTGTGAAGAAACCTGCTGGTGCGTTTGGAATGTATTGATTGTGAAGTTTTTAATTTGCACATTTGTTTTTGTTTAAAATTGTGTAAGAAAAAAAGCAGAAGGAGTTTATTCACAGTTTATCTGTACACATTTATAATTAGACACTAGGCGGGGCATAGGAACATTTCTCCTTCAGAAGGGGTTGGGGGAGTCCTACAGCATTCGGATTTGAAACTCGTCGCTGCAGAGGTGAACCAGGCTCTGGGGTGAATCGGGCCTCGCGTTGCCCTGTCCTGGGGTGGGACCTGGGCTGAGACATCTTAAAACCCTGAGTGCTATGTCTGTGAAAGGGGGGTGTACACGGCATCCACCTCCTGGGGTTCCTGTGAGGATTCAACGAGCCCCGCCAGGAGCAGGATCTCCCCTAGTGATGAGCTGCCTGTGGCCCTGACGCCCGACCTGGGGGAGTGGGAGGCCGCATTTCTAAAAAGCAGCCCTGCATGATGCCCTTATGGCTGGTACCGGATCGAACTTTGAGTCGTCAGGGTGTCAAGTCACAAGGACGACACACCCAGCAGAGACTGGTGGTGTGGTTGGTGGTCTGAGGTGGGGATGGGTCCTCCACGCTCTCTCCTGTGGGTTTAGCCATGAGCACAGAGAGCCTGCCCCAGGCCCCTGCCACATGTCATTTTGCAGTTTCTGTCCAACTGTTGGGATACTTGGACGTTAATCTCTTCTGTGTAAGTGGCCCCTTTTCCTGCTCCCACATACTCATCTCTTGTAGCAAATCATTTCTTGTTTTCTTTTTTTTTTCGTAAAATGTTTTTCTTTGTGCAATGAGCACTTCTATAGTCAGAGATAACCCTTTACTGCGCCTTCGCTGCGTCTGCAGGCGTCCTGAGGGGGCTGCGGGGGCCCCCGTCCATGTCTGCCCACAAGGCGTGGCCCATGGCCCGCGGATGGCGGCGCCTGTGATCTAGCCTTCCCCGGGCTCAGTCGCCCACGCTCCGTAATTCCAGCCCTTGTGGGGGGCCGGCGCCACGGCCAGGCCAGCCCCTCACGAGTGAGAAGCCGAGACTGAGGAAGTTGTCGGAATTGATCCACTTTGGGGTTAACTCCCAGGCCCGCTTTGCAGTAACAGCGTGATTTGTGAGATCAGAATCTGTGTCGTTTATCCCCATCACTGGGTCCCGCCTTGGGCCCCTCTCCCAGTCTTCAGCTTCTGGTGGCTCCCGTCGCCCTCTGTTTATTCAGGGAAGACGTGAGTGTCTGCTTCCTAGAAGGCAGTGACACGCCAGGCCAGGGGCACAGCTCCCTGCGGGGAAGGGAGGACACATCTGCACAAAACGCATGGCTTGGTGCTCCCGCCTGCTCAGCGCCGGGCCCCACATCCAGCCGGGGCCGCAAGCGCAAGCCCGCTGACCTGAGCAGGTGCTGGGGGTTCTGCACTGGCTCTGAGGCTCAGGAGGGTTGAGGGCAGAGCCTGTGGAGGTGGGGAGCCATCCGTCAGGTCCCCTCCTTGGGCCATGTCCGGGTAAAGGGTCAGCTCGGCCCTTCTGCTCTTTGGGGCTATTGTGCTTCTCAGGGCTGAGGGTCCCTCCTGTCAAGCCATGGCGCCTGTCCCTGCGCCGAGAAGCCAGCTGGCCTGGGTCAGAGGTGCTGAGCAGGTGCAGCTAACAGCTGGTGGAGTAGCCCCTTGCTGTCCCTGTGGTCCCCTTGGGGAGGGTGACCGAGTCCCCACACCCCTCGCAGATGAATGAGGAAGGACTGCGGTTTTGTCCAAAGTGATTGGGAGGGACAGGTGGCTTTCTGAGGAGACTGGCCACTGGCGGTCATGGAGGGCCTTCCCTATCAGCTCCCCGCACATAGCTCACCCACAATGGGACCTGCATGGCCCGTGGGGTGGCCGCACAGGCTCCGTGGGAGGCGGCCGGCCCCAGGGCTCTGCCTGGGTTGCCTCTTTCCCTGGAACAGGTGTCAGTGACTTCACAGGGCCCTGGCCTCACGAAAGCCACGCTGTAGACAAGAGCACACTTGCTTCCTCCATCCAGTTTTTCTCTGTTGCTTTTCGTGGGGCGTGGGGGCCAGCACGGGTCTCTCCCCACGGCAGCTCGGACTCTTTTGGCCCAGCGACTTGGAGAGTGTGGCTTCGGTCTATCTGGAGAGGTTGAATTTCACAGCAGACTCCCCCTTCTCCAGGCCGGGGTGCAGCCGGGCAGCCTGACCGAGCCACCTGCCCCAGTCAGACCCTGGAAGGTCCCAGAGCCAGTAGCCCTGCGTCCCCCACCTCCAGCCAGTGGCCTTGGGCTGTTGTGTTGTTGGGACCGAGACCTGCGGCTTGTTCAGAAATTGAAGTACCCTGGTGTGTGGACGGACTCTGCCGGCTGGCGGCCCAGACCGACCGAGGATGTCCTCAGGCTTGTGTCACAGCTGGAGGCCAATGCTGCCCTTCCCTGTGAAGCCATCGCTGTCCCGAGGCTGTCACATCGGCCTGCTAGGCAGTCTCTTGAGGCACCGAGCCCGGCAGAGACTCACGGGGCCTGGACCTCGTTCTGCCTCATGTGGGGCCAAGAGGAGGCCGGGCTGGAACCCACTGAAACACGGGTCCAGGTGTCTTTCGCTGAAGTAGAATATGCAGCCGCCTGCACCCGCCCCCGTTTGCTCCTAGAGGCGTTTCCCCAGCTTTATGGAGGTATAATCGACAAAAGAAATTGCTTGTATTTAAAGTCTGTGATGATGTGACATGTCTGTACGTTGTGGAATGATCACCACAATTAAGTTATAATTAACATCTTCATCACCTCTTGTAATTACTGCTTTTTAACTTTTTTTCACATTTTCTTAATTGACGTGGCAAAATGGTATGGCGGTGACTTTCTTGCAAAGAAAAGTTGGGTTTGTTTATCTGAAGGCCTCATTACTTCCTAAAAACCTCATTTGTGCTTGAGGCCAGACTCTCATCTCCTTAAGGACAGGCTCTCCCCCCGCCTGAGCCCTGGTGTGGCTCTTCCCGTGGCGGCTGCCGGTCGCAGTCCTGCAGGTCCGGAGCGGAGGGGCGCGCTGGGCAGGCTCAGACTGCCATTTTCGGCTGCGGTGTGGTGGACACGCCCGTGACCGTGGTTTCAGGTGTACGACATAGCACTTGGACAGCTGCATGCATTACGAAATGCTCCCCGTGACGATCGTGGTCGCCACACGGCGTCCTGATGGGACTGACCGCACTCCCGGGGCTGTGCCGGGAGCCCCCGGGACGGATTTTGGTGCCCGGACGCGTGCACCCCGTCCTCGCCCTCATTCGTTTCGCCCAGGCCCCCACCCCTCCCCTCTCATGACCACTGGTTTGTTCTTGGGATTTACGAAAGTCTTCCTGTTTTTCTGTTTGTTCGTTTTGTTTTTTAAATTCCAGATGTAAATGAAATCATGTGTTTGTCTCTGTCTGTTTCACTTGGCATGATGTGCTCTGGGGCCCGTCCGCGTTGTCGCAGACGGCAAGCCGCCCCTCTCTGTGACGACCGAGCAGTGTCTGTCACACGCAGCCCGCACCCTGCGAGCCCGTCGGCCGGGGCCGCACTACCCTCCCTCATGGCTTTTGGAGAGAGCGCTGCGGCCCGTGCAGGGACACCCATGTTTCTTCCGGTTCGTGTTTCCGTTTTCCCGGGCGCGTCTCCCATAGTGGCGTTGCCGGGTCGCATCACGCGGGAACTCCTGCCGACCACTCTTTGAGGACCCTCCATGCTGTGTCCCGCGGCGGCTGCGTTCCTGCCAGCAGTGCCCAGCCCGGCCCGTTTCTCCGCATCCTCACCAACACTTTCTGTTTGTACCGTTTGGATTCCGGCCATTGGGACAGGCGTGAGGGGACGGCTCATCGTGGTCCTAGTCTTCTGGTTTTAGCAGCTGTGTGTGCAGCCATAACCTCTATCATTTCCTTCTGGAAAGGTCCCTGCCGCACTGTCCTTCCGTGGTTTGGTGCAGCCACTCGCTGCTCCGTCCTGAGGTCCGTGGGCCCACAGGCGTCTCTTCTCTCTCTCGGCTGTCCCTGTACTGGGCCTTGGGTCACGGCTGGGGAGTGGCTGCAGGCGTGGCGGCACTCTGAGCGCTGCTGGGCAGGTGTCCTCCGGGACACGGGCATGCGGGTGACTTCAGTGCACGGGGTCGGCTTGCGACTCTTGGCTCTAGTGACTGTGACTGTCGTGAGTGCGTGAGGGGAGGCGTTCCTCGGGAGTGGGGAGTGGCCTGCAGCCTGTTGAGGGAGGAGGGTGGGGGGGAGGCTGGGGAGGAGCCCGGTGCGGCCCCCACGCTTCCCTGGATGGGGCTCCTAGGCCAGAGTTTGGAGTTTGCCCGGCCCCCGCAGGGGTAGGGCATTCCAGGCGGGCAGTGGGAGGGACCCTCTTCCTTCTGGGACTTGCAGGCTTGGGGGGCCCAGGGAGGCGCATCTGTGTCGTGCTTCCCCCGAGGGTGACAGGCCCTGGTGGCATGGGGAGCGGGCTGGACCTTCAGTTTGAGCCTCTGTATTTTTATGTATATGAAGTGGTGAATCAAGTCTCCGCTACTGGGATCTTTGGATGTCTAAGGATAAAGTAGATACAATCCGTGACCCATCAGATTAGACGTGCCATAAATACTAGTTTCAGGATTCAGAATGTTTCATCACCAGGTGGGGTCTGTGTTGGCCGTATGTTGGGGACGTTCTCTGATGACTGGCCAGTGAGCTGTGGGAGGGTGAGTGATGGGGCAGAGGTGGGTCTGGGAGCTCGAGGAGCCAGGCAGGGGTAGGGTGAGGGGGGTGAGGGGGAGCAAGGGGCGCTTCACAGCCAGGCGGAGGCTGTCTGCTTCAGGGAGTGGGTCGCTGGGGCAGGCTCCCGACCTCTGTCCAGGACGCCAGTCGCTGGCCACAAGTGACCGTGTCAGTGTGGATTCAGGAAAAGTTAACAAAGCTGAAAACTCTGTCCCTCGGCCACACTGTCCACATTTCAAGTGCTCAGCAGCCGCAGCGGGGCAGTGGCTGGCGTCCTGGGAGGCACCAGAAGAGACTGTTTCCGCTACCACAGAGGTCTTCGGACAGAGCTGGGGGAGACCGTTGAGCACTGTTGTGGCAAGAGTTCTGAGGTTTGGCCGAGCGTTTTAATTTCTTCCCAGGGGATTCTGATGGGTGTCATAGTTGAAGCTTTTTTTCTCCGCGTGTTTTGTACCTGGAGGTGCCAGTGCCCTTGGGATCAGCTGGTCCTGTAGAACAGCACCCGGGAACGTCGGCGGGGAAGAGCCCGGCACGGGTCCCCACCACCCGCATTCCCTGTTCAGAGACCGACGTTCCCACATTTTGTCATGACCCTGTTTGGTTAGAGGAACGCGGGAGGCATTCGCCGTAGGTGGGCGCAGACCATCTGGAATCGCGGTGGTAGCGTTGGGCGGTCGGCAGAACCACGCGTCTGTTCCGAGAAGGCGTTTGGTCTATTCACTGCCAGCTGAGCTTGTGGACTCGTAAGGGACCCAGGAAATGGGAACCCCCAGACCCATTGCAGCACCTTCAGTTCCACTGGGAAGCAACTCTCCAGGACCCCCACCCTGTCTGGGGAGCCCCACACTGGTGGTGCCACCTCACGACACGCCTCTCGCTGCCTCGCTCTGCGGGCTGCCTCTGTGTGCGGCGCCAGGCTGCGGTCCCCGGCCCCGCGTCAGTCACGGTGCCCATGTCAGCCTGGTGGGCTAGAGGACGGGCTGAATTTCCCAGCCCAGCCGTGTTCCAGGAGCTGCGTGAGTAACGTGTGCTCTGCCCGTCCCGGCAGGTGGAGCTGGAGGTCACGCTGCCCGGAGAAGGGAAGGACCGCATCTTCAAGGTGTCCATCAAGTGGGTGTCCTGCGTGAGCCTGCAGGCGTTACACGATGCACTTTCGGGGCGGCTGCCCAGCGTCCCCTTTGAGACGATCCAGGCCCTGGATGTGGTCATGAGGCATTTGCCATCCATGAGGTGAGGACCAAGGAAGCAGGAGCGTCTGCGTCCGGCCCGGAGCGTGACCTGGAAGGGACGAGGTCTCTGTGTAGGGATGATTGGGGTTTGGGAGTCAGGGTGGTGGTAGTTACGGGTTTCTGTGATGAAAATCATTGCGGTACTAACATGAAACACTTAATATAAAAATCACCAGGGCCCCTCGCCGGCTCATTCAGTAGAGCATGTGACTCCTGATATCAGGGTTGTGAGTTCGAGCCCCACGTTGGGCAGAGATTACTTTGAGGGGAAAAAAAAAAGAAATCACCAGAATGCTCAACCGGGTACAAAAAAGTAGACTCCCTGCCCGTCCTTGTGCACACTTGTGCTCCTTCCCTTGCCGATACCGTGAGCGTGGTGTGTCCGTGGCACTCACGCGTAGGACTGGGAATAGTAGGCTGATACTCCCAGCGCCCCACCTGACAGTGCGCAGGGACCACGGGCGACACGGTGCTTCGGACTGCCGGCTTATTCCACGGGGTGGCTTTTCTCCCACAGATGGCCGCACGTGGACTTCCCGGGACAGAGGGTGCATGGACACTTGAAGGGCTCGTGCTCAACCCTGTGGCAGCCTCAAGGGAGCCAGGCCACTTGGCCACATGCAGACCTTGGGGTTCTGACCTGGGACCACCCACTCTTTCCTTGTGTGGGGCACCCACCAGGGCTTTGGGAAACTGTTTGAATGAACCAACAACCAGAGACATGAGCCTCCATGCCGACCTCTCCTCAGAGTGACAAAGCTCGAAGATTTGAGGGGGGGGTGGGGCACCCTTTGTTCTTTTGTAGTGAGAGAAGGTGCTCTGGGATGCCTTGTTGGATTTTAAAGGGACCCTGGGGTTCTCAGTCTCCAGACTTGGGTGGGGGGGACCAGATAGCTGGCAGGTGTCCCTCGTGCAGGGATCCTCCCCCAGCCCCCAGGATATAATCTCTTTCTGTTTGGAACTTCTGTCGGCAGGAAGGCAGGTGGGTGGGGATAAAAAAAATCTGGAAAGGCAGTTCAAAGTGTTGAATACGTTTTTCAAACAAGTGGCAGAAATCACTGTGATTTTTGTTTTCTAAGTTTTGAATTAATTACCGTGTTACTTTTAGAATCAGGAGGAACATCTCCGTTCATTTTGGAGAAATAATAGAAAAAGTGGCAGGAATAACGTGTAAGGAAGAGAAAGGAGGAGAGAGAAAGGACTGTCTCCACAGTCTGGTGGATAGTGCAGCCTGGGGTGGATAACATGAGCCCCAAAAGACGCATCTTCCTTTTGGATCCTCTGTAAGGCGCGTCCCGGGGTCCAGGCATCACTGGCGCTGCCGCACTAAGGCGTCTGCCTTACGCACGGGGCCTCCTGCTCTCTGTGCCCTGGGGGCAGCCGGGCCCTGGAAGGCCTGCAGGTCTTCCCACATGTCCACCTCGCCGTCCCGCCTGGGAAGCCGTACCCCTCCTCTCCCCCCCCACACACAGATTGAGCCCCTGCCCTGCAGAGGGGCTGCATGGAGCGGGGACTAGATGCTGGGCGCCACGTCCCGACACGGTCCTGGACAGGGCAGCCAGGCTCCCTGGGCCCGGGGCTGCTTCAGTCCGGCCGCCTCGGGTGGACGCTCCTTCCAGCTGTCCCTGCAGCGCACTGCCTGAGAGAGACCTGAGGTGCTGTGTGCAGAGAAGCCCTAGTCGGTGAGCAGGGGAGGCTCAGAAACACGAGCAAGAGCCAGGGACACACCGTGTGCCCCGGGGCCTGCGCGGCCAGAGCCCGTGCCTGGGGTCCGGAGCTACGGGGGGAGGGGCGGGAGACCCACTCGAAGGAGGAAGCCGCCGAGGCCCTGGGTCTCCGAGGCCGTGCCTCCAGCAGTGTTCCTCAGGGTCCACCACGGACACCTGCCACGCGCCCCTCGGGGACCTGGTTTGGTTCGGAGGAAACCAGCAGAACCATGGGTGCCTGTGCACGGGCCTGCTGGCTCATCACGACGAGCGGACTCGGCGTCCGCCTCCCCTGCCTAACCCCACGAGGGCTCTTGTTTCAGGTACACGCCTGTGGGCCGCTCCTTCTTCACGGCGTCCGAGGGCTGCTCCAACCCCCTTGGCGGGGGCCGGGAAGTGTGGTTTGGCTTCCATCAGTCCGTCCGACCTTCTCTTTGGAAAATGATGTTAAATATTGATGGTAAGCAAAGCCCCTGTCTTTGTCGTCGGGGGACAGGGTTGGAGCGTTGCTGAGGGGCCGAGATCTGGGGAAACCCCTGTGTGGCCGTTTCCAAACGTGGCCTCCATCTGAGCCGGAGATGCCGTGTCACACCTGGCCTTCCTCTCCTGCTTGTGAGACGTGAATCTCAGAGCCGCGTGCAGGGCCCACTCCAGAGACTAAGGCTCTGGGTGCCGAGACAGGCCAGCGTCCCTGACTCGTTCCCAGATCCTGCTGCCCGTGTCCAGCAGGCAGGGCTTCCCCCCGCCAGGCCCGCCCTCTGTCTCACCTTTTCATTTTCTGCCTGGTTGGCAGGAGCACCGGGTAGCTGGCTGGGGGCCAGCCTGCTCTGTTGCCTTCCGGCTGGTCTCCGGGTTCAGGGTGCCCTGCCCTCTCGGGAGTCTCAGGGTTGCATCATGCCAGGAACGGGAAACCTCAGAGGGTCCCCGGTTATGGCTCTTGGGGTCTGGCGGAGTTTCATCTTAAGGCTTTTGACTCTCAGAAGGCGGCTTTATCTTTGGGTCCCGAGCCAAAGGAGGAAGGGGCAGCCCCTGCTGGTGCTGTCCCACCCATAAGGCCTGGAGGTGGACCCCGGGGACGGCAGGGAGCAGAGGCCAGGCGGCCGGCCTGCAGGGGACACACCTCACCTCACCCTTTGTTTTTCTTTTGTTCCCACCGACAGTCTCAGCAACTGCGTTTTATAAGGCACAGCCGGTAATCGAGTTTGTTTGTGAAGTTTTGGATTTTAAAAGTATTGAAGAACAACAGAAACCTCTGACAGATTCCCAAAGGGTCAAGTTTACCAAAGAAATCAAAGGTAGGTCCCTGCCTCGCGCGTGTGGCCCCGACTCTCCCCCCTCACTGCCCTTCCTGAGCTCCTAGTGCAGAGGAGGAGGCGATCGTGGTCAGCCATCCGGTGAATTACCAGAAATGAGCCAAGCCCATGTCACAGCTCAGGAACAGTGATGTTCTGAGTAAATGGCTTTCCGCATAGGCGAGAGGTGCGGGTCAGTGACTGGTGGCCTGCACGTCCCTGGACTCCAGGACCAGAGAGCCCGTAGCTCACGCTGTCCTGGAACGGGGCGCATGCTTCCGTGCCTTGTTGTCATGTGGCCTTACACCCCTGGCAGCATCTGTCCCCACCCTGCCAGCTTAACCCTCACACCCTCACGGAGACGCGGCCCGAGTGTGGTGGCCTGGCTCAGGCTCCTCTGGCCGGTTGGCACCTGTTGCCTACGCCCCTCCACACCTGTCCTCAGAGGGCTTTCGAAAGGCCGTCAGAAGTACCCATTGCTAAAAATAATCCTGGAGAAAGCACAAAGTCTCTCTGAGCCAACGTAGTGACTTTTATCTTTAAGAACAGTGGTGAGCCGCTGGCCTTGGCATTTCTGGGGCAGAAGATGGCCCTGGGGGTGCAGTGGGCCCCGCGCAGAGGTCCTCCCCTTGGGGCCAGTGTGGCCGAGCAGCTGCCCCAGAGCACCCTCCCCTCCTTGGGTCTGTGGGCACAGCTCCCAGGACAGCTGGTGCTGGGGGCGGGGGCGGTGCTCCGGGCTGGGGCGGGTCTTGACTCTGAGGCCTGGCTGCTCTGTGTCCCCAGGTCTAAAGGTGGAGATAACGCACTGTGGGCAGATGAAGAGGAAGTACCGTGTCTGCAACGTGACCCGCCGGCCCGCCAGCCACCAAACGTAAACGGCCTTCCCTTCCCCCCAGATCAGCTCTCATGGTCGCTCTGGTGTGCAGACTCCAGAGGAGGGGCCCTTCTGGAAAGACTCATTTCATTCTAGTTCAGAATTTTGGAACTGCACGTTCAGCTCAGTGGAGCTGGACGTTACCTGAGGAAACCCAAGTCACGCAGTTGCTCTGCTCGGGGCGGGACGGGGTGGTGGCTCCCTGTGGATTTTCCCTCCTGAGCTCTGCAGGCGAAAGAGGGTTGTTTGGTTTGTTTTCTAATCCTTGGTGCTGGGCAGGAGCAGGGATCGGTGGGCACCCTCGCCCCGGCCTGGCCAGTGCTGGGACGTCTGTCTCGTGCCATGTACTCCAGTCCGAGGTTGGCTGGGATGTGTGCAAGCCATTTGAGGGGGGCCCTCGTCTGTCCTCGGTGCCTCACGCATACTGTAGAGCTCTGTGATCTGTGATTATCGCATGTTATAGGTGTGGAAGTATTTTTTATTTCCCAACTCCAGAGATGATATGAAAGTTTAAGAACTACACGTCTAAAGGGCGTGATTGGTTTTGACCCCTGGAAGGTGCTTGGGACTTTTGCCCCCCTCCCAAACCCTCATTCTCCTTCTTCAGCCCTCATCAAGCAGACTGGGGGAGCCGCCTCCCACAGGGTCTGCTGCCTGAGCCCCTTCCTGGCTTCCCTAGGTTCCCGCTGCAGCAGGAGAGCGGGCAGACGGTGGAGTGCACGGTGGCTCAGTACTTCAAGGACAGGCACAAGCTGGTCCTGCGTTACCCGCACCTTCCATGTTTACAAGTCGGACAGGAGCAGAAACACACCTACCTTCCCCTCGAGGCAAGTCCCATCTCCTGTCCACCTGCTCTGGGGCTGGCAGGAGAGCCGGGGGCCTCCAGCCAAGGACGCCCCTTGCGCCTGCCTCCCGGTGAATGACATGGTGAGGAGACTCCCGCGGGGTTCCTGGGCCGATAGAGGACGTGCCCATTGTGCCCAGCAGGCCCCTTGCACAGGCTGGAAGGTTTTCAGAAAAGCTGCCATTTCTTCACTTGGAAAAGTCCTGGCCCGGAGGAAGACTAAATGCTAAAACGGACCCAAATTTTACCTCTTTCTGTTAGTGTCTTAAGTTCTCTGGACTCGTCCAGTTACCCCAGTGTCCAGTCGGTCTTCCTGGGCCCCGGTGCAGAAGCCCAGCCTCCTCCCCGTCAGCGCGCAGCTTCCTGCTCTCACATCATGAGGTTCCCAGCGCATGGTGGGGTAGCCAGGCTCCCCCAGGAGGCCTCTGCTGCTGACCGCGGGCCCTCGAGCAGCCCCTGGTCCTGGAGGATTGCCGGGTCAGTCACCACGGTGTCTGCGTGGCGCCATGTGTGGCTAAGAGATGGATATGTTCCAGGCCGAGCCAGGGCGCCACGCTCAGCCGCAGACCCCAGCCTGTCCCCAGCACCGGGCCAGCGCCGTGTCTGTCCCTTCTTCGTAGGTCTGTAACATAGTGGCAGGACAGAGATGTATCAAAAAACTGACCGACAATCAGACCTCAACCATGATCAGAGCGACTGCCCGGTCAGCACCAGATCGTCAAGAAGAGATCAGCAAGCTGGTGAGAGTCGCGCTGCTGCGGCCGGCCTGGGGGTGGGGACTCCATGGGAACTGTGCTATGTGGTGTGGGGGAGGGGAGCCCTTGATGTTTGGGATAGAGACAGCTTACTTCTTTTTTCCTTTTCAAGATGCGAAGTGCAAGTTTTAATACAGATCCGTATGTTCGTGAATTTGGAATCATGGTCAAGGACGAGATGACAGATGTGACCGGGCGGGTCCTCCAGCCGCCCTCCATCCTCTACGGGGGCAGGGTACGTCGAGGGTGGGGCTGAGAGAGTGCGTGGGTGTATGCGCGCTGTGTCTGCCAGTGGTGGTGGAGCAGCAGCTTTGGACCCCTATGGGGCAGCACTGTTGCCAGAGGTGTGGACCCGGCAGGGTAAGGAGTTCTTGCCGCGCTCGCCCAAGCCAGCACTTGTTATGGGGCCCCAGTAAGGACTGAGCTGCTCTGCCCTTTCTGAAGATCGTCAGAATTACCCTTTGTCTTTTCAAAAGGTGACTTTTATTATCCCATTAAAATCTGGAAAGCATTGTTCTTGGACACTCTGCACTGATGAATTATTTTCCAGAAACTTCTACTTTTTTTCTGGTGGGTTTTTAAATTTGTTTTGTTTTGTTTTTTGACTTTGGTGTTGGAGGTATTTGGTGACAGTTGTTAGTCATTCAAGTTTTTGTTTTTGCCCGTGTGACGCCTGGCCTCGTCGGCACATCGTAACGCAGTCCTGGCTGTCGAGCGCTGCGGAGCTCGTGGGAAGGGTTCGTGCACTCCGTCGGGCCAGGCCTCAGATGCGGAGCACAGCTCTACGGGGCAGACGGCGGGGCCCGGGGCCTTGGCCTCACTCACCTGCGAGCTGTGACGCTGCCTCTTACCCTAGTCCTCGGGACCTGTAGCAAGGCCTGGTTTTGTTTGTGGGGTTTTTCCTTTTCTTATTATAAAACATAAGTTCTGCTTTTTAGAATGTTCCGAAGTTCAAAGGGTAAAACAATTAAAGGGAGGGCGGCGCTTGGCCGCTCAGCCGGAAGAGCCTGCAGGTCTTGATCCCAGGGTCATGGCTTTGACTCCCACAGTGAGTGTGGAGCCCGCCTGCCAAACACAGCAGAACAAGGCATTACAGGAAGAAGACAGTTTCCCCAGGTCTCACGGGCTCTCCCAGGAAGCGACTGGTGTTTGCTGTATCCTTTGTAAGCTGCCCAGGGACGATTCGTGTGTGTTTCCATCCCTTTCAGTGCGAACAGTAACATTAAGTATGCTTCTTTTTACTTGAAACTTTCTCTTGGAGCCCAGAGGTCTTGGAGATGGTTCCGTGTCTCTGTGACATGTGGCTTGTTTGTTTGGGCTCTGGATGGTTCTCTGTGTGGGGGTCCCTGTCCTTTGAGGATGGCCTCTGAGCAAGGCTTCCCAGCTTTCTCAGCTCCCTTGTGCGTCTGCTGCGTGCAGATGCGGACGCCGTGCAGACACGGCCCTTTTTGAGCCCTTCTTTTTTGTTGTTGTTGTTGTTTTTTGTTTTTTTTGTTTTTTTAATATTATTTTTTATAAACATATACTTTTTTTCCCCAGGGGTACAGGTCTGTGAATCGCCAGGTTTACACACTTCACAGCACTCGCCATAGCACATACCCTCCCCAATGTCCATAATAACCCCACCCCCCCAACCCCCTCCCCCCAGCAACCCTCAGTTTGTTTTGTGAGATTAAGAGTCACTTATGGTTTTATCTCCCTCCCAATCCCATCTTGCTTCATTTACTCTTCTCCTACCCCCTTAACCCCCATGTTGCATCTCCTCTCCCTCATATCAGGGAGATCATATGATAGTTGTCTTTCTCCGATTGACTTATTTCGCTAAGCATGATACCCTCTAATTCCGTCCACGTCGTCGCAAATGGCAAGATTTCATTTCTTTTGATGGCTGCATAGTATTCCATTGTGTATATATACCACCTCCTCTTTATCCATTCATCTGTGGATGGACATCTAGGTTCTTTCCATAGTTTGGCTATTGTAGACATTGCTGCTATAAACATTCGGGTGCACGTGCCCCTTCGGATCACTACGTTTGTATCTCTAGGGTAAATACCCAGCAGTGCAATTGCTGGGTCATAGGGTAGTTCTATTTTCAACATTTTGAGGAACCTCCATGCTGTCTTCCAGAGTGGTTGCACCAGCTTGCATTCCCACCAACAGTGTAGGAGGGTTCCCCTTTCTCCGCATCCTCGCCAGCATCTGTCATTTCCTGACTTGTTAATTTTAGCCATTCTGACTGGTGTGAGGTGGTATCTCATTGTGGTTTTGATTTGTATTTCCCTGATGCCAAGTGATATGGAGCACTTTTTCATGTGTCTGTTGGCCATCTGGATGTCTTCTTTGCAGAAATGTCTGTTCATGTCTTCTGCCCATTTCTTGATTGGATTATTTGTCCTTTTGAGCCCTTCTTAAAGCCCTCGGAGGGCCCTGCCCCAGTCAGTGGAGAGACGGCTGGAAATAGAGGTTTTTGTGGCCCGTGGGTGGTCAACCAAGATCGCAAATCCAGTATTTTTGTTTTTGTTTTTTTCATGGCCCCTGCTTCTGTCTGACTTTCTGACTCAGTAAATGCAGGAATAGTTTGGAAAACAAAGTAGCTCTTGTAAACTAATCTTGCAAAACTATTAGAATTGGAGGGATTGAAAGTTTATCATGCTTCTAAATGAACACATTTTTCCAGATCTCTGAAACATTTCAGTGAGAACACACATTCTTCTTCATCTACGCTACTCGTCCATTGTCAGAGCGAAACGTCAAAAGCCCCCCAGGGAACATTTAGCGATGTCTGGAGGCTGGCCTCCAGTGACAACAACCGCTGATGTCCTACAGCACACAGGACCGTCCACACGTCAGCAGGGCTGAGGCTGACACTCGTGTGTGTCATGAGAGCCCATGTCTGCTGAAGCCGTGTGTGCTCGCACGTGTGCGTGTGGAGTCTGGAGTACCAGCCCGGTGGCAGGCCGTCTCTTACAGAGGGCTTGCTCTAGTGCAATGGGGATATAGTTATAAAAATACAGGAAAGAAAAGTGGTTCCTCTGGTGGCAGTGCCGAGGCCTGGTCCTTTCTGTTTGAGAGGGGACAAGCTCCAGTGGGTACGTCCCTCGCTCTGTCTCTACGAGTCGGAGTAGCTTCCATTCCTTAAACCGGGCAGGCACGGCACGAGGAGCCGAGGGGTCCTCCCCAGCCCACCTGCTCCCTGGCATCTTGACTTCCTTCCCTTCCTTGGCTGCCGGTGTGATGACGGGTAGAGTAAGTGAGAGCGTGTTCTGACCCAGGAAGCCCTCCTGGGGCACCTCGAGGCCCTTCCATTCCTCGGGGCTGCCCATGAACTTCGGTGGGATTCTGGGCCTCTGCTCCCTGTGGCCTGTATCCACCCCTCCCTTCATCGGTCCGTCCATCTTCCACCTGCCCTTCCCTCCGTCCGTCCTTCATGCTCCCTCTGTTCACCCTCCTCTCTCTACCCCGTCCATCCCTCCCTCCATCCATCCTTCCACCCCCGCCTCCCGTCCAGCTCTTCGTCTGTCCGTCCATCCGTCCTGCAGACATTCTGGCCCACGTGCTCTGCGGGGCAGGTCAGAGACGGGAGACCACACAGAGGCTCAGTTCTCAGCTTCGGGAGCACCATCGGACCAGGGGGCCAGCGGACAGTAGGGAAAGTAACACAATCCAAGGTCAGAGGGATATGTTTCCTGTTTCTCCTCACTCTAAACTTCTTGCCATTTGCAGAATAAAGCGATCGCCACCCCTGTCCAGGGCGTGTGGGACATGCGGAACAAGCAGTTCCACACGGGCATCGAGATCAAGGTGTGGGCCATCGCCTGCTTCGCCCCCCAGCGCCAGTGCACGGAGGTCCACCTTAAGTAAGGCCGCAGGAGGGGCGGGCGCACCTGACCTGGGCGGGGCCGCTGGGGGGGCGGGGCCGCTGGGGGCGGGGCCACGGGCTTGGTGGTGATGGCCAGGTTTGGTCCTCAGCCTTTCCCTGGCAGAGGACACTTGCCCAGGACGTGGGGGCCACCTCAAGGCTGCTATTCCTTCTCAGACTTATTGGTGGAGGGAGCGTGAAGAAGTAGTACAGATTATGTAAGAAACAAAGCAGTAAATGAATAAACTTGAAAATTAGATGCAAAAGAGAAAATTATATTCAGTGAAGTTGTTACTTGGGAAAATAAACCATAAAAACAAAAAACTTGGAAAAAAAAATTGTCCCTACTTGGTCCAGGCGTTGGACCCTTTGAAAGTAGCACCAGGAATGTGCAGCTTCTCACTCCCACTTTCGTGCCAAACAGACCTGACGGTGGAGAGAAAGCTTGAGCTTCCCGCCTGCCTCGGTGGAAGCGGGAGGGAACCCCACGCCCGCGGCACGCACGTAGCTGCTGCACATCCTGGCAGAGGCCGGCTCAGACAGTCCCGAGCACGGAGTCCAGGGCCGAGAGCTGGCTGTCCTGCATGCGGCCAGCGGAGCTAGCGGGAAACGCAGAGCAGACTAGGAAACAAGTCGGTTGGGTGTGGCCCCGGGCGTCTCTCTCCACCGTGTTCTGGCCTCCGCTCCTCCGTGCTCGATGGTGCGGTGTGAAGGCCCCCGCGGTGCACGGCTTCAGTGCACAGCTAAGTGCGCTGAAGTCCAGGAGGCTGAACCCTGGCCCGCCACCCCCCCCCCGGGGCCGAGTGTCCACACCACACTGTAGAAGGCGATGTTATTTTTATTCTGAAGTTTAAAATAGACGCTGTTGATCGGTCTGAGCCCCTCCCCCACCGTGGCTTCTCCAGGCCCTCTGACGGCAGCTGCTGGTGTCCCTCTCGCTGTGATTGGTCCCGTTCTCCCCATGGCGGTGTCACCCAAGTCCACGTTGTACACCCAAGATCAATGGGGGCACGTCCGGGGGGACGGTGCGTTCACAGCTGTCCACCCCATGGAGGTGTCTGGTGTTTCCAGAGCCCTGGGTTCTGTACCAGCACCCGGACGCTGGTCAGGCCTGCTGCATGGGCGGCCCCTGCTCGGAAAGGACAGCACTGTCCCCACACCTGCGAGTGGCTTTGCAGGAACTGCTGTGTGTACACATACCTTCTCCTTGAGTTGATGTGTTGTCACGGTTTCGTCCAGGTCTTAAACTTGGACGGGGATGTCAACATACAGGGTTTGGGGTTGGGCCGTTAAAGCCAGGCCCTTCCTTGGGGCCTCTGGCTGGTGTGGAGCCTTGGGCACTTGACGTGCGTTCACGTCTACTGACCCTTCTCCTTCAGGTCCTTCACGGAGCAGCTCAGAAAGATCTCGAGGGACGCTGGAATGCCCATCCAGGGCCAGCCGTGCTTCTGCAAATACGCCCAGGGGGCGGATAGCGTGGAGCCCATGTTCAGGCATCTGAAGAACACGTACGCCGGCCTGCAGCTGGTGGTGGTCATCCTGCCGGGCAAGACCCCCGTGTACGGTAGGCCCCCCTGCTCTTGTGGTCCCTGTGGCCCCTGCCTTCATGACCCTGGGGGGGCTGGGCGCGGCCTGAGCCCTGGGTGTGTGTGCCACACCGGGGAGTGCTCGTGCCTGGCCCATCGCTCCCACATCCGCGCCGAGGCCACCCTCCCTGGAGGCCAGCAGCTACAGTTAGCTTGTCATGCCCACTCGCTGCCCGCACAGGGATCGCAGGGGCCACCGTCTCCATGCCCGCCTCAGAGCTTGCTGGAAGTTCATCAGACTTCATGCCAGAACAGCAGTCATGGGTCCATTTAGCTAACACTTAGCAAGTGCCCGCGGTGCTGTCCCAGGCCTGGCGGGTTCAGGGATCCAGCCCCCCTATCCAGGAGGCCCCAAGGCAGTGGGGGTGCAGACAGGTGACTCCAGGACAGGCGGTGGGACTGGGGACCGTGAGGCTCAGGTAGTGTCCCCAGCCGGGTCCCCAACTAGATGGGGACAGAATCAGATATGTAAAACCCACACATCTCCTCTCTGAGCACCATCTCCAAAGAGCGAGGAGGATACCACTGGTGTTTCCATCCCAAAGTGCCGTGTTCCACAGGGTGCGCGGGAGCAGCTGACAGTCGCTTCATGAAGAATCCAGAAACGGGCGGGGGGAGGCTAGATAGCTCTTTGAAGTCGGGTGTGCATGTGCTATGGAGGTCGAGGATGCCAGTGTCTTTATTCTAATGACTCAGGATCTGCTTATAACCCTGAGCACCGTGATCGAAGGCAGCAGTCCTAGCCAGGAGTGCCGTGTCCCCCGGGCCAGCCTGGCTCTGCCCACACGGCCCTGCAAGTCCCTGAAAGGGTCGTCAGTCCTGCCAGAGCCCAGACTTGAGCTCCGGGTCCTGACTTCCCCCTGCCTGCCAGTCACCCCCTTCCAGCAGCGTAGCCGCCCACGGGGCTGCCGTGGCTGTGCTTCCATGCCAACCGTTGCAGTTTCAGGGTGGGGGGGGCTGTCAGGGTGAGCAAAGGAAGAGGGGCCCAGCGAGAGCTGCCAACATGTGCCTCTCTTGTGCTCCGCAGCCGAGGTCAAGCGCGTGGGAGACACGGTGCTGGGGATGGCCACGCAGTGCGTGCAGATGAAGAACGTGCAGAGGACCACACCCCAGACCTTGTCCAACCTCTGCTTGAAGATCAATGTCAAACTGGGGGGCGTGAACAACATCCTCCTGCCCCAGGGGAGGTAAGGCCGGCTTTGGCCACGTGTGCGGTGGTGGGCAGCACAGTTCCTGGAGGGACGGGGGTGCGGTGCACGCGTGGGCCCCTTCAGGTCCCCGGCACCAAGCACCGTCCTGGACAGCCCCAGCAGACACGGGCAGTGCTGCCCCAAGTCTGGGGAACAAGGGGCATGGGGGGGTCTTGGAGTGCTATGGCCAGGCTCCCGGAGTGAGGGGAGACCAGAGAAGGGCGCAGGGGTCCTGGGACGTGGGACGTGGGACATGGGACGGGGCAGCCATGCTATGAAAGAAGTGAGGGGGTCAGAACCGGAGCTCACCTGGAACATCTAGGACACGAGCCTCAGCAGAGCGACACACATCATTGCCGTGTGCGCTGCCAATGGGCGCCCCTGAGGCCATCAGTTCCAGGAGCCGACCCCTGGAACCCTGAGAGGCTCCTCAGCAGGGCACACTGTTGGCAGACCCCAGGCTAGGGTAGGGGTATGGGGCTGGCATGGGATCGGTGGGCGGGGCTGTGGGGTCCTTGGTCCCTCTTGGCCTGGCATGGGGCCCTGGGTGCCCTGAGTGCAGGCCAGCTTCTTCTGCAGCAGGGAGAGAACTCTGTCGGGACAGATGCTGTCAGGGGGGTTCTTGCTGAAGCATCTGGGCATTTGGGTTCGGGTTTGATGGCAGACACGCGGAAGCACGGGTCACTTGTCACTCTTCAGTGCGTCAGCCAGCCCCCCGGGAAGAAGGGCCGGGCATGGAGGCAGCAGGCGGTCTGGCTGCTTCTGTGAGCTCGGGACAGAGGCACGGGACACGGCAATGTGTGCAGAAGCCTGACAGCCTGTCCGGGCTGCCTTTGTGGGCACGGCTGGGCGAGGCTCTGGTCAGCACCTCTGGGTCGGGACCCAGGCGAGGGCGTTCTAGTGAGCGCACAGCAAGGCCGCGGGCGGGGGGCCGCCCCTTTAGAACAAGGAGTCCCGCTGCTGAGGGGAGTTAGTAGGTCACCGTGCGATGGCATGGAAAGACTCTGAATTCAGGGCCCGACAACTTTGAACTTGAAGACTGGCTCTGCGAGGTGGGGTCGAGTCATGCAGGCCCCGGAGAGACACAAGGAGCCTCCAAGGGCAGGTGGTGAGCGCCCAGCCAGCGGGCTCTGATCAGTGGGTGCCGGCCGTGAGCCAGGACCGGGGCCACAGCACCAAGCGCAGCAGCCAGAGTCCCAGGCCTCTACTCGGGGGACCCACACGCATGGGTCTTGACAGGTGAGCAGCAGTGACATCATGGGAGGGACCGGAGCTCAGGAGGGTGAGGAGCTGGAGTTTCTATGGCAACGGACTGGTGGAGAAGGTAGCACTTGGCAGAAGGGCATAGGCATGTGAGGATGCCTGCGAGAAGGGTGTTCCAGACCCGGGCGTGGTTCGGGCAAGGGCCCCGGGTGGGAGCCTGCCAGGACGGCTGGGGGTTGTTCTAGCCCAGGACCCAAGGGTGGGGGTCTGCTGGCAGTGGCCTGGGGCTCCCTCCAGGCAGGACACAGCTCCTGGAGGTGTCTCTTCTGAAAGGCTGCTCCAGCTCCGGGTGGAATGGGACCGGGAGGCCCCAGCGTTGTCTCGGCAGGGATGCTGGCGTTGGGGAGGGTGGGGGGCTGCCCCGAGACAGTATGTTTGGAAGATGGCACTGCAGGGCCCGCAGACAGGCTGGGTGTGGGCTGTGAACGGAAGAGGAGAGTGTCCAAGGCTCTCGCTCTGCTGAGCCTCTGCGGCCCTAAGCAGCACGAGGGATGGGGCTTGCGGGGTCGTGCTGGAGGGGTTTCACGGGTGGGCGAGCAGAAACAGGTCTGCTATCGGGGATGTGTGATTAGGGCTCTGCAGCAGAGAGCTGGGATTGAAAGCCAGGAGGCAGACCCCCCAGGGCAGGGCATAGACAGGAGGGAGGCCAGGCCTACTGCCCTGGAGGCTTCGTGGTTAAAAGGTCATGGAGACTGGGAGCCAGCAGTGGGACCCCAGAAGAGAGAGGAGGAGAACCAAGCAGGTCCTGGACCCCAGGGGCACTGCAGCCTGTGTCACATGGTGTGGACTCTGCCACGCAGGGGTGGGGGACCTTGTGCAGGGAGCCTTGTTGTCATGGCAGTAGGACATCTGGTGGGAGGGGCCCGAGGCTGCTGGGAGGTGGGGAACGGGTGCAGGGGCAGGAGCTTAGCAGGCGTAAGCAGGGGAGCCTGAGGGGAACGAGTATGGTTTGTGGAGGAGTATGGTTTGTGGAGGCGGGAGTCACAGCTGCCGGTGCACAGGGAGGGAGCTGGGAGGAGGGCGCGGCACCGGTGCCCGAGAGAGCCAGGATGGGGCCAGGCCCTGGAGGCTCACAGAGAAGGGCCGCGGTCCACTACGGGGCCTAGAGACAGGTTGGTCTTCCTGGCCATGGGTGGCGTCTTCCCCCGTGCGGGGAGCCCCCGTGAGCTCGCCAGTGTCCCGCTTCCATGTCTCGGGACCCTCGGGAGAAGAGCCCCCCCCCGGGTGTGGTTGGCGGTACGCCGGAGCTTGCGGGGGAGCCGGTGCACGTTTCGTGGACACGGACACATGGCATACACACTCGGAGCCCTTCCCCCACCTCTGGGCTCCGGGAGGGCTCTGTCCAGCGGGAGTCCCGCGGGGACCGTTCCCCAGTGAGTTCCACTCCGGACTGGGCGGGCGGGCACCTAGAGCCTCTCACCTCGGAGCAGCAAGGACGGGAGTGGCAGGAGCCTCTGGCGAGCGCGGCGGACCAGGCCGTCTGAAAGCGCTTGGCTTGCGTGTGCTCACGTCCGTGTTCATGTCGGCTGCGTTTTCCAGAAGAAAAAAGTCAGTGGTAGAGAGCGTCAGCTCTGGAACGCAAAGCTAGCATGTGACCCCGTGCACACAGCCTCTTCAGGAAAGTGCTGGAACACAGCATTGGAACAACGAGGAGAGGAAGCCCGTGTTGTGCTTAGCCCAGGGCTGGGGGGCGGCTGGCACCTCGTGGGCTGAGAGCAGGGGTGCTGCTGAGCATCCTGCAGAGTAGGGGCGGCCCCTGCAGCGCAGGATGGCCCAGCCCCAAGCTGCCGCTGGACCGCAGGGACGACGCTGGGGAGTGTGGCTGCAGGTCCCAGGTGGGAGGCAAGTACGGGATTCTTACGCGCGTGGGGGTCTTGCGTGTACGGTCGTCGTCTCATGAATTCGTAACCTGAATGTAGAGACTTAGCACATCTGATGAATGTAGAACATTCCGGCACACAGAAGCAGGAGCCTCCCTGACCCTGGCCTCCGTAGCCACGCACGCCTGACCCGTCTTGTCTCTGTTTCTCCTACCCCTCGTCCCCCGCACCGGGTTGTTTCTTTGGAAGCAGAGCTCAGACCTCGTGTGGCTTTATCGGCCAGGGTTTCTGTGTGGGCCATCAAAAAATACGAGGTTTTTGTCAAAAAGACAACCACAGTGCCTTTGCCACACAAGTGACGCTCTTCGGGGGCACAGGCCTCAGACACTCTGGCTTCCCTCCGCAGGCCGCCTGTGTTCCAGCAGCCCGTCATCTTCCTGGGGGCCGACGTCACTCACCCACCCGCTGGGGACGGGAAGAAGCCTTCCATCGCCGCTGTGAGTATCCGTGCTTCCGCTGGGCCGCGGCGGCCAACGTCCTCCCACACATGGGACCTGCGCCCTGGCCAGGCTGCCTGTGGTAGGGCGTGTGGCCAGAGCCGCCCCCAACACCCGCAGTGGTTTGTGGAGCAGCTGGCAAAACAGAGTCTCGTGGAAAATTGGTATTTGGAGGGGACTGCACGTGGCTGTGTGTGTCTGAGAAGCCAGGAGGTCGTGACTCCCGTCTTGTGGGGCCCCGCCTGCAGCTCCTGGGGCCCTGGGGGCTCTCTGCGCAGGATTCGTGGGCCCACTTCCTTACGCTGCACTCTTTTTAAAGGTTTTCGTTTATTCTAAAACGCTAAACGTGAAGTAGTTACGGTCAGAGTTCAGTGGAGGCCTTGCCCTCCATCTGCCCGTGAGTTCCTTTTGGCTTCCGAGGGCTTTGCCTCCCAGGCTCTGCACACCTGTGCTGCACACCCGCTCACCAGCTGTCTCCTGCCCTTGGGGGCTGACCTGGGCCCCTGCTCCGTGCCCCAGCCAACTGGGCCCGGGAGGGGCAGCACAACGGTCTTTTGTTCAAGAGCGAGTGGAATAGCGTGGACTGGGGAAGGGGTGCGCAGGGCCAGAGTGCTCCGTCGGAGCTGTCTGTGATGGGCCCCCATCTTCTGCATCCTGGGCACCCGGGTGAAGGGAAGGAGGCATCAGGCTCAAGGTCTGTGTCCCCAGCATCCCCCGTGGGGACTGCCAGAGTGACCTCCAGGCTGTTGTGCATCCTGTCACGTGCCTGACACCACGTAGGGCCACTGTCAAGCCCTCCAGACTAATCAGAGAAGACTGACATTTTCTGAGCCCCTGCTACACGCTGGGCTCCGGGCTGCGTCCCTCCGCTGAGTCATAACCTCGCGGGGTCACTGTTCGTTTCCTCAGCCGACACATGAAGGCCAGAAAAGCCGAGCTCCGTTGCTCAAGAGAAGCGGCAGAAAACACAGCTGTAGACAGCCCGAGGCTCAGGGTTAGGGTCTGAGCTGTGTGGGGTGTTGGGGGCCGCCACGCTGTCAGGCTCCCACGTGAGGGGTTTCGCGTCCCGTTCCCTCCATCGCGGCGGCTTTTTCGGGAGCAGTCGCAGACGGGCAGCACCCGCCACGTGTGTGGACAGGGCCAGCCACCATCTGGCCATCCGGGGAGGCTGGGCCCCTGGGAGGTGCAGGCTTCCCCAGGGTCCGTTGTGCCCCTCGCCCCACACACGCCGGGTGCGTCTGGTGTCATTCAGGGGCTGTGTTCTCTGGCAAGGTAGCATCCGGTAATGTGGCCTTCCTCCTGGACTCAGCCTTACGGAACCTCCGCGTCCTGCCTGGAGCGCGGTTTCTACCTGGTGAGACGCTCCCCAGCCCCTCCTTGCTGAGGAACTGTGCCCCTTGGGCTCTCGCCAGCTTGCCCTCGGGGTGGTCCCCCATTCCCGGGAGCAGGGATGTGCCCTGATGGGCGGGCGTCTTCTCCGGGGGAGCGCGGTGCCTCGAGGAGACGAGGGCTTCCTCAGCTGGCTTCTGGGGGGCTGATGGTGCTCAGCCAGCTCGGCTCCCGGGCGGAGTCGGGGTTCAGAAGAGTCACCTCCTTTTCATCAGACGCTCGCAGCACACTTATTCTCTGTCCCGTGTTTAGTAAGCGCGGTGGCCACGTCCCAAAAAGAAACACAGAGACAGCAGGTTCGCCTCCCACACACCGCTGCCCCTCGACTGTGCCGTGACATCGGGGTGGTGACATGTGTGTCCTCGCTCGTCCCCGCAGGTTGTGGGCAGCATGGACGCGCACCCCAACCGCTACTGCGCCACCGTGCGGGTCCAGCAGCACCGGCAGGAGATCATCCAGGACCTGGCCACCATGGTCCGCGAGCTGCTCATCCAGTTCTACAAGTCCACACGCTTCAAGCCCACACGCATCATCTTCTACCGCGACGGCGTCTCCGAGGGCCAGTTCCAGCAGGTGGGTGCCCGCGGCCGCCTCCAGGGTCTCAGAGTGCCCAAGAGTCACCTGTCCATCCGGCGCGCTGACGTCTGTTCTTCCCCGCAGTTTGTGTGGCCGCGCCTGGACGGCGGGCCGGGAACAGGCCACCAGCCCAGCAGGGCCAAGGCAGGGCGGGAAGGGACGAGGAGCCACGGGGAAGTCGGGTCTGGACTGGCTCGGCTGGGTGCCCTTCCGGACGCTTGGTCGGGGGAGTCTGGGGACCCCCACTGTGTCTGGGGGTCACCTCCATGTGTGGCGGGAAAGGCAGGCTGCAGGGTGGAGGCCTCAGAGCCCTGGTGACGGCTTTGGCAAGGGGCCAGGAGGGCAGCTGGGCAGGAGCCCCGTTTGGGAGGAGGGCTCGCGGGACCGGCCACCGTCCAGATGGGGTCTTGGGTGACGTGTGGATCGCGGGCTCGGGCCGCTGTCCAGAAGGCGGGGGGCGGGGGCGTCAGATGTGGAGGGAAAAGGCGAGAGAGCAGGTGTGGAATTTTGCTGCTGTGCTCTGCGTCCAAGCGCCTGCGTTCCCTCCCTATTGCGGGGACCTCCGTCCTCGCCCAGCGCTTGGGAGAGCCATGCCCTGAATGTGTCTCCCCCACATCTATCCTAGCCAGTTACACCTCCTCCTACCCCGTCCCCACACGCGCCTGTCTGGGAGATGTTAGCAGGGAAGGCAGAAGATCTGGGGGCCCGTGTCCAGTCCTGTGGGAGACCCACCTGGACAGGCACGTGCCCTGAGAGCTGTGCTGCTGTGTGTCCGAGGCCCCAGGCCCCCCTGGACATGCAGGCTAGAGAATGCCTAGACCTTCCTGCTCCAGAAGGGGGCCACAGCTCATACCCCCTACCCCAGGCCCTTGGTCAGTGGGAAGAAGGGAGTCAACCCTCTGGCCAGAGCTTCAGAGAGCTGCTGCAGGGGCAGGGCTGGTCCCTCTGACATTCGCCCCCCAACATCCACGGTCCAGTGTGTGCTGACCTCGAAGGCACCTCTTATACAAAAGTTCTTGGCTTCCCTTGCTAGAGAATGTTCCCCCTTCTGTGCCCCTTGCCCCCCGCCCCCTACCACAGCCATTCCTGCTGGAGAGGGGTCTGCGCCTTCTGTGTTTGTCACTCTGGGAGCACAGCCTGTGCCTTACAGAATCCCCACAGCTGGCGGTTCTCAACCCAGAACCCAAGACACTTTGGAAACAATACGATGTTTGATTCGGACCATGGTTAAAAATCCAAGGTGTGTGGTTCCTGGAGTGGCCTCATCATGGCCTGAGAAGTTGTTTGCCCGTTTATGTCAGACACAGAGGGTGAGAACAACGTCATAATGTTCCTGTGCCCTGACTCCCAGGCGCTTTGTACCTTCCTTTAGTCTTCGCAGCAGGCCTGCAAGGTAGGATGTTCCCACTTGAAAAGTGAAAAAAAGCTGGGCATCAGAGAGGGCCCATGGCTTTCCCAGAGCCGCACAGCTACCTGCGGCAGGGCTAGGGTGTGAACCCCGGTGTAAGTCCTGAGCCAGTGTTCGTTCCACTGGGTTCTCCCTCCTCTCCGGCACGGAAAACAAGTTGCTGACTTGATCTGTTCATGTGTATGTCTCCCTTTGTGCTTTCTTCTGTGCCTGACGGGTATCGTTTATGGAGCACTCAGAACACTCTAGAAACCGTGCTGAGGAATGTTATGCACTATCTAATTTAAACCATTTAACTATGACATCTGGGTCTCCTCTGCTCAATTATAGAAACGAAAAAGCAAATGCAGAAAGGCAGTCACACCGCTGAGCACAAGCTGGCACAGCCGGAGGACTGACCTACAAGGAGTTGTCAAGTAGCGCGTGTTATGAAGGGATTTATTCCGAGGTAGAAAGGTACCATTAAAGAAAAAAAGAATCATCCTTAAACTTATCTTTTCTTTCTCTCAGGTTCTCCACCATGAGTTGCTGGCCATTCGTGAGGCGTGTATTAAGCTAGAAAAAGACTACCAGCCAGGGATCACTTTCATAGTGGTACAGAAAAGGCACCACACACGGCTGTTCTGCACCGACAAGAACGAGAGGGTGAGGTTCTGGGACTGAAGGAGTGGCCAGAGGTCGGCCCTAGGCCGTGGGGCCATGAGGGACACAGGTCTCTGCTCAGCCCGTGCCCAGAGCCCTGACGAGGGGCTTCATGGAGACCCAGCCCTGGACGCTGGAGAAGGGCTGTCCTCAGGCTGGTGAGACGTGTGGACCTGTACATCCCACAGGCCTGGGACAGGACCAGGCAGGAGATCTCATTTGTCTAGTAAAGAAATTACCAGACCCCTGGCTCTGAAAAAAGGCCTGTGGCAGCCATGACAATGGGCAGAGTCTCTGGGATACAGACTGGGGACCGTCGGGGGTGGTGGGGTGCTGAAGGTGGTGGGGTGGTGGGGCTCCAGGGAGCCCGTCCCGGGGTGCGTCTCCTGGGAGTTCCAGAATAAGAATAACGAGCACAAGGGAGAGGCAAGGTTTATAGATCGAACAGCTAAGAAATCATCAGTTGAAGAAAGGTGGGAATCTTCTGGTTACGGGTATTTTCCATGTTCCCAACAGGAGAAATAAAAATAAACGTACACATAGCCTGGTGTCCTAAAGTGCGCAGCATCATGTAGCCGCCTGTGAAAAGGGACAGTGCCCGCAGGGAAGGAGACACTCCCCTGAGAGCCAGCAGCCCTCCTGCTGCTCGGGCCCCCACACCAGAGAAGGCACAGTGAGGGCGAAATGCAGATTGTAGTGAGAGAACGGGACAATTTGTCACAATTGCAGGGTCACATCCACCAAGAAGATGTAACAGCCGTGGGCTTGGATGCACCTAACTCAGTGACCTAAAAATACGTAAAGGGAAGAAATACAGTGTAGCGAAAACCAGACAGAATTCCCAGGAGAGATTGACAAACCCTCCATCAGAGAGGCGTACTTTAGCACAGCACTGTCAGACACCGGGACAGGCACGCGTGACCAAAAGCCAGACGCTGGTGGGGGGTGACCAGGCCGGGTCTCACGGCTAGCGTCCAGCTGCTGACACTCGCGTTCACGCAGAAGGCTTATGAGAGTCGCCTTGTTCCTGGTCACAAGGAGATCTTGGGAGATTTCCTTTTTTTTTTTTTTTCTTTTTTTTAAGATTTTTCTTTATTTATTCAGCAGACAGGGATCACAAGTAGGCAGAGAGGCAGGCAGAGAGAGGGGGAAGCAGGCTCCCCGCTGAGCAGAGAGCCCGATGCGGGGCTCGATCCCTGGACCTCGAGGTCATGACCCGAGCCAAAGGCAGAGGTTTAACCCACTGAGCCACCCAGGCGCCCCGAGATTTCCAAATCTATTGGAAATAGATCTATTGGGCAAACCATGTTTGTTTTTTTAAATCATACAATTAGATTTTAAGTCAGCAGTAGAACGAAAAAGACATTTAAGAATGCCTGAAACTTTAAATTCACTTCTAAGTAGCACACGCATTAAACATGCAAAGGGAATAAAAACTACAAAGTAATCAGAACTGAATAAAAAGAAGATTTCGTATCAGACTTTATGCAGCGTGGCTGAAACAGTCCTTGGAGAGAAGAGGGTAGGTTTAGATACGTGTGCTGGAAAGTAAGAAAGAGAACTGGCCAGGGAGGCTGACGGTGCCGGAAGGACAGAAGAGCTGCTGGTCCTGGGTGGTGTGGAGGGAAGGCCAAGGAGCCGGTGTGCTCAGGCTTCCTCCCTTCTTCGCCTGTAAACCGCCCCCGCCAGGAGCCACGCGGGCTCAGGGCCAGCTTGTTTGTAAACCCCAGCCCCTCTCCGTGGGAGATAATGAAGAAGACGGAGCAGATGAACACAAATGAAACCTGCTTCTTTGAAGATAGAGAAACCTAGCAAGACTCAGGGAAGGAAAAAAGAGGATACTTGTAACCATGTTAAGAGCAAAAAGAGTCTATGACCCCAGAAGGGGGATGTGTTACTTAAATCATCATGGGATGGTAACAGCTTTATGCTGATAGATACATTAGAATAAGGAGAAGAGATAGATACACACGGTTGTTTGTGAAATCAGGGAAATTACTAAAACCAGCTCTGGAGGATAATCGAATCATCATTTCCAAAAGGCATCAGGCCCAGGGAGCCTTACAGGCAAGTGTTACCAAGCCTTCAAGAATAGATGATCTTAAAGTGTGGCAGAGAATAGGAAAAAAGAAGAAACTATTTAGCTTATTTTGTGAAGTTTATCCAGATTTTTTTATAGGCAGGTTTTATCAAACTATCAAAGAATAATCTTACACAAAATTTTTTAGAGAATGGGAAGTAACTGGGGGCAGGGGGGTAGGGGGGTACTCATGAAGTTATCCTGATAACAGCCAAGTGTTGGCAAGGATGTGGGTGCTGGGCTGTGGTCAGGAGCACGGGTCTAGAGCCAACCCCCCCCCCCAGCATCTGGGCTGCGTGGCCACAGGTGTCGGCCTCCTGGGAGCACTTTCCTGAGGTGGTTGGGAAGGTCCCAAACACTTTGCATTGTCCTTGGCACAGAGTAAATGTGTTATTACGAAGACTGTCCTGTGCTTCCGAAGGGAGTGCAGACTGGTAAGCCAGCTCGGATGCACCTGGTAATTGTCGCCCTGGAGAAGCCCACCTGCGTGTGTGTAAGGAGACAAGTAGACGAATGTTCATTGCAGTGTTGTTTCTGATAGCAATACTTCGTCTACTAAGAGGAGGAAGCATCGTGATGTAGTCCTGTGCTGGCGCGCTGCCCAGCAACGAGCAGGGTAGACTGTGCAGCACATGAATACATCTCAGAGTCGTCAATATTGAGCAAAAACAGCAAGTGGCAGGATATATGTGATACACCTGCCCTGTTTGAACACCTGTGCGGTAACACAGTGTCGTGCTCACGGAGACTTAAATATGTAGCGAGAAATGAAAGTATATGAGGGGGGCGCCTGGGTGGCTCAGTGGGTTAAGCCTCTGCCTTCGGCTCAGGTCATGATCCCAGGGTCCTGGGATCCAGCCCCACATCGGGCTCTCTGCTCAGCAGGAAGCCTGCTTCCTCCTCTCTGCCTGCTTCTCTGCCTACTTGTGGTCTCTGTCTGTCAAATAAATAAATAAAATCTTAAAAAAAAAAAAAGTACACAAGGGATGATAAAGTCTAAATCTGGGAGGGGGGGCACTGTTTTCAGATATTTGACTTTTAAAGCATTGGAAGGTGTGAGAAAGGTTGACAGGAAGTAATCCAAAGAGGCACAGGAGGGACCTGGGACTCGCACGTGCATGTGTGTCTGTGGAAGTTGCGGAGCTGAAAAGTCAGTGACTTCCTGACCGTGGTTGGGCCCCAGAGCCTGGGTGTTGTTGCGGCCCCAGCAGCAGGAGCTCGGTGCTTGGTGATTCTGCAATCCCAGAATGTACATTTAGAGTTGAGTGGTTTGGTACCATCTGTAACCCAGCCCATCCCCCTGCTTCTCGGACGGCCTGGGTAGGGGGATGGAGAGCGTGCCCTCTGGTTGGTGGTGACTGAGCCACCGGCCCAGCGCGGGTGCTCCTGAGCCTTCTGGGCGGTCTAGCTCGTCTACCTTGAATGTCAGGTGCGCTTGCGCACGGGTGTTGGCCCACAAGGTGTCTGTCGTGCACGGTTTTAGATGTGTACATCGTCGGTGCCCTCGGCAGTAACAATGAGCCCTTCAAGTGTTACATGCACGTTCTTCAGTGAAGGGAAGATACCTGCATTTCTTTTCTGGGGCCTTACGAGACCTGGGGGAAAAGCACCCCAGCCCTCGTAGGACAGGAACTTGCTCACTTGTAGGGCTATTTGTTAAGCTCTATTTTCGTGCTGTTGTGCTCAGCCAATGTGTAGCCAACTTAAGGACGGCGAGATCTGGCCACCCATGGTCGGAAGGGACCGGCATCTGAGGGTGGCGTGGGCGAGGCTGACGGGCTCGCTTGCTTTCTGGTGTTGTCCCTGGCCATGTCTAACGGGTTCCTGTATTGCTGAAGGTTGGGAAAAGTGGAAACATTCCAGCAGGCACAACTGTGGACACGAAAATCACCCACCCGACCGAATTTGACTTCTACTTGTGTAGCCACGCTGGCATCCAGGTAAGGACCCAGGGTCCCTGCTGCCCTGTCTCGGTGTCCCTGTGACATGGTCTGCATGTTCCGCAGATACTCACAGAGCACAAGCCCCACGCAAGGCACTCCCGGCAGCGGGGTAGGGGAGGTGGGCAGGGGGCCAGGGAACAGGTGAGGGTGGGGACCGTGGGGTCCTGGGGGCGGGGAACGGGCCCACTGGTGTGCTGTCGTCAGGGTTCCCATTTCAGATGAGACGAGGTCAGGCAGGAGTAGTGGGCGCAAAGGCCAGATATGGTGGTGGGGCCCCAGGACCGTGCCATGCGCTCGGAGCTCAGTGAGCTAGCTGAGAGCCGAGCGGTGATGAGGCCGCGGAAGGCACGGCCTGGGACAGAGACGTTGACTCTGAATCAACTTCCTGCTTAGCGGGGTTCAGCCTTGTCTCCCGCCACACACGTTGGTGGGATGTCCGGGGAAGGTCACCCCGTAGCCCCTTGTCACCTCAAGACTCCTGCCCTGTGTCAGTGAAGAGGCCCACGGGTTTTTGTCCCTGAGTGTTCTCCCACTGAGTCCTCCAGAGGCGGGTTGACCGAAGCCTGGCTTCCAGCAGGGCCCTGCGTAGGTGAGTTCTGGACTTCTCGCTTGCGCCTTCACTCCTCTGATCCTCTGATCTGCTTTTAGGGAACAAGCAGGCCTTCCCACTATCACGTGCTTTGGGATGACAATCGTTTCTCTTCCGATGAGCTGCAGATTCTCACCTACCAGCTGTGTCACACCTACGTGCGTTGCACGCGCTCTGTGTCCATCCCGGCGCCAGCATACTATGCCCACCTGGTGGCCTTCCGGGCCAGGTACCACCTGGTGGACAAAGAACATGACAGGTGAGTGGTGGGCCTCTCCTGGCCAGGGGCACGGCAGGGGTTGCCTCTGGAACCGGCTTTGGGAGCTGCATTTTTAGGCTGGGAAGCAAGGGGGCCGCGGGGGCCGGAGCCGAGTGTGACACAGACGCCAGGATGCCCGTGTCTTCACCACCTGGTAGTTCTGTGGCTGCCTCCCCAGACAGCTGGTGCCTCGTCTTATGTGCGGTGCCTCATGGTGCATTAAAGGCTGCACTCTCTCTCTCTGCCTGTCCTCCTATCCCCACAGTGCCGAAGGAAGCCATACCTCCGGGCAGAGTAATGGACGAGACCATCAAGCGTTGGCGAAGGCCGTCCAGGTTCATCAGGACACCCTGCGCACCATGTACTTTGCTTGACGTGTGTTAGTGTTTACGATCGTGTACCGAGTTGGATTCACATGAGACCAGCTACACTCAGACCAACAGATGCCCAGCCCTTCCGTGACAGCCAGCATCGAACATGAGACGTCATTGATTTTAGTAGATTCTCCATTTTCCAGAATGCCTTCTGTCCCAGATTTCAAACTTGGATTTTGAACTGCAGACCTGTATGAGACCCCATTGTCGTAGGAAATATGGTTTGCCAAAATCTATAAGCTGCTTATTAAAATAGAGTCCCGTGTTTCCTAAAAATCTCCTAAAACCAGTCTATGAACTCAGGGCTTTAAAACATTTTTAATTTATTTGGTCATTCAATTTACTTGTTTTTAACACATGATTCTCTATGAAATTGATGGGCTCAAACTAGCTGTGAACGTTCTCAGAGAGTGAAAGTGACACAGAGCACGGCTGTGGTTTTAAAGCCTTGAGCATTCTGAGGTGGCCACTAACGCTTATGTCCGAGTGATTCAAGCGTGCTCCTGACAGGGCTGCCACCAGCTCTTCGGGACCGAGGGCAGGTGGCCCGCCGAGGCGCCCACGGGTGTCTAATACCGCCACCGCCCGCCTCTCACTCAGCTTGAAATAAGGAGCGGGGGCAGAAGATGGGCCGTGTGTGTTTACAGCATTTCTAGGTCCAGAGAGATTGGCAGACAAGTGCCATTTTAATAAAAATTTATTTAAAAAAAGAAAAAAAGACAATATGCCGACAGTCTAATCATAAGATTTGTCCTACAGGACTGTGACATTTATTTTCCAAAGTTTCTAAAGAATACGGGTCTGTGGTGATAAATACAGTACAATCCTTTTTCACTGTTATGTCTTTAATGTAAGAGAAAAAATATATATATCTGGTTTGCAGTATTAATGTGATAGATAGATGCTGTTTTTTCATTTTATTGACTACGGGGTGCTTCTTGTGATCTGTTCACCATATCAAGAGTGTTGTGGAGCCTGGAGGCTGGACCACCACCTGTGGTTCTCAGTGCTGACGTACGGGAGTAAGCAGCTGAGTCAGTGTGACCACCACCCGCCGTCCCCCCCCACGTAGCCTGCGTAGCCTGTACCTGCGGGAGGACGGGGCACGGGCACGGCGGCCCTGTCCCACCTCCTGTCCCCCGTGTTGCTCAGCCGATTAAGCACAAATGGAATGTATTTTCTTCCATTCCTGGAAAACCAGTCCTTGTGTCAGAGTGTCCCTCTCTCTGTGTGTGGTTCTGTTAGACGAGTTTCGTAGGATCTATGCACTGAAAGGCACAGAGGGCTGGCGGTTGGCGGCAAGCCCCTGCCCTTGGAGGTGGCTGACTGCAAAGCCGGCAGAAGAGATTGGCGTCCTGGGCCCCAGACGTGGGTTTGCCCGTCTAGAAACCGTTGCACTAAGCGTGATGCCATGGACCACTTGGAAAGGTAACAATGGACAACTCTGTTTGTGCTCAGTGGGCTGTTGGTCCTTGTAGACGATTTAAAAAAAAAAAAAAGTCCACGTTTAATGTAGAGGTTCTGGGAAGGAGACGCGCCTTCCCCTCGTGCTGCTTTGTGCTCTGTCGGTTTCCCTCTCCCTGCTGAAGGCCTCCCCAAGCCCAGCCTGACTCTTACCTCTGGCCCTGCGGTGGAGCGAGGGCCCCGGGGGCGCCCTGCGCTGGAGAAAGCGCCCACCTCTGTTTCTGGTCTGTGGGCTCTGGGGCGCGGCCGGGGCGGGGCACCGCGGGCAGAGCTGTGACGGGCACTCGGCCTAGGTTTGGGCGGCGATGACAAAGGGGCGACTATTATTTGTGAAGATAAATACTCAGAGTGGCGTGTGCGTGTGCGTGTCTGAGTGTGCGTGTGGGTCTCTCTGATGGCGTGAGCCTCTTGCTGTATCTTTCTTGTTTTGGGGTTTGGTTGGTTGGTTTTTTTCCTCTTTCTCTCTCTCTCTCTCTCTCTCTCTCTCTTTTTTTTTTTTTTTTTTTTGGTCTTTTTAAAACGAACAGAAGCCTCTGCTCTAAGAAATGTTGCAATTCCCTGTCGTCTTATTGGCAACTGGCACTTTCTCCTCTTTTCAGATGAATACCGATACGCTCTTGGCTTAGATTCCCAGAGCATTCAAGCTAAGGAGGAAATCTTTTCACTAATACACTTTCGGAATCTGAAATTAGGTTAGTTTTCAGCCGTTTTTAGGATCATCTAGAACCATGTGTCTCAAAGGTGTGTTTCTGCTCCTTGCAACAGGGTCCTGGCGGTTGGGCCGGTGGTGGTGCTCGGTGAAAATGCAGACTCCCAAACCCGATTCTCCAGGGCTGGGGCTGGGTGTCTGTATTTTATACCGTCAGCCGGGGCTCCAGGGCTGCCTGAAGTCGGAGGGGTCCTCTCCCCCGAGTCCCGGGGGGCCAAGCAGGGAGGAGCCGTTGGACAGCGCGGGCAGACTAAGCTAACACCCAGGAAAGATCGCGGGCTGGCGGAAGATTAGACCTAAAATGTGTTTTATCGTTTTGAAGGAGGGGTTTTCCTTTTAGTGGGCCAAAGTCCTTTGAGAAGGGTACTTTTTATAGCCCTGTGCTTGTTTTATAAAACTTTTAATACTAAAAGCATTAATAGACCAAACGTCTCCAGCTAGGTGAGCCGCATACCTTTGTACACATCTGATGATTCAGAGTTCAAGTGGCTGTAGTTACAATTTCTCAGGTAAATAACTGGTTTCCCAAATTTCTACCAGTCCCCCCATTATTAGGATAAATTTTGAGACAGCATAAAACCTCAAAGTGCAGTAGACTAAGCCTGAGCCCTGTTCCCGTGCAAGCCAAAAGGGGCCCTTGCCCATCTCTGACGACGCTTGCTCCCACCCCAAGGGCTCCCTCGGCCCACATGGCCCCGACAGGGCTCCCCGGCTCCCAGGGTCGCCCGAGACTTGGGGCCCTCACAGAAGTGAGAGGTGTCTGCAGGGCCGCTTTGCCCTATCCCCGCTGTTAAGTAAGGTGTGCCTTGCTTTAAGCAAACTGAATGTGAAAATTATGGTGTAAAAACCTGGATTCATTTGAAAGAAAAACTGGGATTTCTCTCATCTCTTTAAAAAGATGTCTCCCGATCAGATTCTCATACTGGTACTCTCCCTAGTCGATTTTAAATGTCACTTGAAGAAGAAGGACCGTTCCCGGCCCTTCCCCACTGTCCATTCTGTCCACCCTGCCATCACCCCAGTGACAGAGCAATGAAGGAAGCCCAGGGGAGCCACGGACAGCCGCCATGTGTGGACGCACCCTTTGGTGACACTGAGAGTCCGTCCTGTCCGTGTTCTCCAAGCTCAGATTTCCCTAGTTCTAATACCTTTTTGTAAAACTGGGCATACCTGTACTTTCAGAAAGGGATTGTTTGGTTTTGGTTTTGAGAAGTCTTTGCATACACACTTGTGCTACAACATTGTAGGGTCTGCTTTGACATTGTAAGGTGACATTGCTTTTTGGTAGTGCTGTCACACTCCCTTGGATGAATGTTTGCACTCTAGAGCCACAGGTGACCCCTGGCCACTGGGCGGGCTGGCCCTAGAGGGACGCGGCAGGAGCGGAGTGAGGTCCACGCTCCGGGAGGTTGGCCGTGGTCACTGCTGTCACTGATGTTCACCCCTGGTTACGGAGTGCTCGTTGGAAAAGACAGTTTGAGTTCAGTTCCTACAGCAGGGTTGGGGTGGGGGGGTGGGGGGGTTTTACTGATGTTATATTATATGTTATTTTTATTGTCGTTAAATGCAAATGTTGCTATTTATTTTTTTTCTTTCTGCTCTGGTTTGATTTGGCCGATGTGGATATCCCCAGTGCACATGGTACCTGATGGACATGATAGAAATTATTTTCCCCAACTTTTATAAATTGCCTAATGTTTACCTGCAAGTTTGCCGGATGATTTATTTTTGAAAGCCACAAATGTAATTTTTCTGGATGAATTGTTTTTCTTATATACGTGGCAATGTAATTTTACACTGATCTGCAGGGTGATTTAAATTTTATTTTTACAAGGCAGTTTTTCAGTCAAATTATATATTTGATACGATATGCTAAGTGTAGACCAGCCAAGCGTCCTGCAGTAGCTGGGACCCACACTGTCTCTGGGGGGGGTCTGGGAGGCTGGGACGGCTTCTCTCAGTGGCTCGTCGTCGTCACAGAAGCACTTGGCTTGTCCCGGAGCCGTCAGGATCTGGATGTACTCCTTCAGCGGGACTGTGAGCTGGTGGACAGTTAAAAGGATTTTTCCCGGGCATTTTCCTATACCTAAGGCAGTTCCATTGGGAGGAGCTTTAGAAGCTGACACAATCCAGACAGTGGACAATCCCCGTGGCCCAGACAAGCCATAGCGATCTCCCTGTGACCTGACTCCTCTCTCGCGCTCACGAGGAAGGGAAGTACAGTGAACAGAAACTTCTGCAGTGTTTGTGCGCCTCACTTCGAGAATGCAAATATTTTTATTTATGTTTTAAGCCCTTCCCCAAAGTAACCGATAAGCTTCTCTTGAGCGGTCCTGCCTGCAGGCTTGGCTGCGGTGACGTGTTTCCCATGTAGACGCGGTGCGCGTGTGCTCTCTGACAGGGCTGTCTGTGTGACACACACATGCGGACTCTTTTGTAAGGAAAATTTTCAACTCCGGATAATTGCACTGATTTTTTTGACAACTTCCTTTTTATTGTGTCCAACTTTGCATCTGCTGTACTTGCTTGAAATGACTGTAAATAGATTTAGGTTAGCAACAAATGACGCGAACACAGCACGCCGCTCTGTCGCAGGGACCGCCGTGTTCTCAGTATTACGTGTCACAGCCGTGCGGGCTCCGCTCTGCCTCCGTAGCCGCGTGTCTGTGGACCGTTCATGAAGGACAAAGGAGCCTCGTGTTCTCATTTCTCAGAAGGGAAGTTCGCAATCTGTTGAAAGGAGAGTCTGCTCTCCCCTTGAGGTCCGAAGATTGGATTTTAAAGGCTGCGTTATAAATCCCGTGAACACTTTTTTGGTCTGTTTAACTCCTTGTGGTTTTCTGTGGCTCCTTAATGCATCGCCTTCCAGTCCCATCCAGCATCGGGCGGTCTGGGTAGGAAGCGTCTGTGCGCCCGGTGTGAACGGGCCGCGAGGGCCCCCTCGCTTCTCTCCGGTCCAGCCGTCATCCTGAAGCCATGAGATCACTGTGGTGTCTGTCTGAAGTGTCATTTGCGGCTTCACCCATAGATACTAGCAGGACCTGAAAGCCAGGCCTGGTGGTTTTTGCTAGATTAGGAGCACGTGCTCAAGCCCGCCGTGTGCCCCTGTTTACGGTCAGGCTAGCCAGAGTCAGACCCGAACCGCTCATGTAGCGTTGACGCCATCGTGGTGCCCTCCCTGATGCTTTTCTTTGGTTACGTTTTGCCATTTTATTGTCAAAAGTGAATGTATTGGCTTAGCCAAATCACTACAGAGGGTGGTTTCTACATACCTTTTAGTTTAAAAAAAAAATCAATGCAGATAAAGGCTACCTCTGAATTCTCCATAGGTTCATGTTTGCTCTTATGCGTAGCTAGCCACACTGAAAATAGCCAAAATGTTGCCTAAAAAAACTGAATGGTGACCATCTCTCTCTTCAGTTCTGGCTTGAAAATGTGTGTGCCATACTGTGACCCGCGGGCAGTCCCCCACTCCCCCTCGGAGGCATCAGAGGTGCACCGGGGACTCCTCGGGGCTGCCCAGCTCTGTAGCATGGGGTTCTAAGCAGCCAGAGTGAAGAAAATGGAAAAGCCTCCTGCATGGTCCTGCCGGGCTGCTGGGAGCAGCTCCATGCAGGGCCGTGGGTGGGGGAACCTTGAAACGGCCAGCTGTCCTGGCTCTCCACTTTCCTGTAAGAAAGCACTTTCTTCTCTGCTTTACCCATGAATGGGTTGAAAATGGCTCCCTCTGCTCTCTTCTCCCTTTTTATACACTCTGAAATCACGAAGGTGCTGAAACACCGACTCTCGTGCAAATATTGCATCTAAAGTGGCTGTCTGGTTTCAAAAAACCACGCAGTTGTAGTTGACCTTTGACTTTGGAACCTTGAGTTGCTCTCTCTCCCTCCTTAACCGTGATCTAATGTTCTGTTCAAGTCCAAGGCCCTTTGTTTGAAAGGAACACAGGGTCCGCAGCCAGCACTGAAGTAGGAGTTCCCACTGCCGGCACCCTGGGTCCTCGGAGGCTGACTTACGGGCAGTCACCCCGAGACAGACCGTTAGCTCAGAATACCCCTCCTCATGAGTAACCACTTTGCTGTCAGAATGTCCCTAACCCACGCACTGTGTGTGGGTCCGCTGGTGTCACCCTCTGCCTTCTTCACGTCTTGTCTTTAGATTGTCTGCGTTCTCTCATCTTTGGAAGGTTCGAATTTGCTCCAGGACGCCTCCATCCGTTTGCTCTTAAATCCCTGAGGGACAGGCAGGTGGTTTTGCAGTTGGAGATGTCTGGGTGCGCGGAGGTTGCTCTGTTGTCTCACTGGACATTCATC